ATATAACTAGCAACTTTGTCGTCCGCAAGCGGCAGACTACGTTGCTAGTGGGCATTAACCATATTTTTTATTCATTTTTTTTCAAAAGAATTTAATATTAGAAATGTAAAAAAAAATTTCTTTATATTGGATCTACCACCCAAGTAGCACCGAATATTGCTTGAATGTCAAGCTGATATCAACCAGGAATATTTTTGTGACATTCAGGCGATATCATAATGTCCTCTTCACGGGGACATTCCTCGGTGATGTATCTATGTGACGGTCTTTCACACAAAAAATGTAACGCATTACAAAACTTACATTCTACATTTATTAAACCTAAATAATTCTGTGGAACTTTACTTTCATCGAAATCTTCAAAAGACATTATTGCAACTCCTGCACTTTTTTTATTCCGATTATCGTTTTTACATGTCAAATTCTTTTCTTCACACATTCTTTTCATCTTCCGTTGCCGTAGAAAATTTTTTCTTCTTACATGACAAATTATTTTCTTGACGCACATTCTTTTCATCTTGAGTTACCATTGATATTTTTCTTTTCCTACATGCCAAATTTCTATCCTTGCGTATTTTCTTTCCATCTTCAGTTTTTATAGATAATTTCTTTTTTTTGCGCTCATTCTTTTTTATTTCTGTTTTATTACGATTACGTTTTCTCAATCTCTCATTCTCATGTCTTATTATTTTCTGCTCATATGTAACTTCGCGTCTTGCCTTCCTTTTTCTTCCCTTCTCTTTAATTGCTCGATTTATCTTTTTATCATTTTCTTTACTTAGAAAATTTTTCATTTTTAAATATTCATGTGGTGAAATTTTGTTCACATTATTATCAGTTGTACGAATTATTTTCTTTTCACTAGTGTCATTTAGAGAATGTTTAATTTTTAAATCTTGTGTTAATAGAACTCTGTTAATATTACTATTGGGAAAAGTATTAAAAACAAAACAATAGTTTAAAATATAATTTTTATGTTCCTGAGTTCAATTTATGAAAAGACGGTTCTAATCATTCTCTATTATCGAATTCCCATTGTGAGACGTTCTTACTGTCGGAAAATGATTTAAGCGATTATTTTCAAACATTGACTTAAAATTGTTTCTCATTTTGTTATTATCAGTTTCATAATTTACACGGTTTGAGATTACGTTAAATAATATAGATGTTGCAAATGCTATTGCATATACTCCACACTCAACACTACCAAAAGGTAGTTGATCAACAGCTTCAAAAACTACTGTTAGTTTAAAAGGGAACAATCTAATTAAATATTTTATTTGATGCACATTTAAACACCTCTCATTAAGGCTATCAAAAATATAAAGCCTTACTCTATCGTATTAGACACAAATTCAGTGACCATAATTGATATTACCGCTAAAAATTATTTGAATATGTTTATCACCTTCTCTAATTGGGACAATAAAATTAAGCATTTGTACATACAAAGCACTTTGCATATTGAAAAAAGAATTGGAATCTTTTCTTAATAAATCTTCAAATTTGTACATATGCAAGTAATTTAACAATTTATTTCTATTTTCAATAATTTTTAAATCTTTATCACTTAAAATTACATACTCTTTTATATTGGCCATAGTATACTTTGTTTAATTTTATTTTTGATTCATGAAAATCTAAATATCTTTAACCCTTTTGCTCACTCTCTCTAATACAACCAATTTTACCTTTTATTAAATATAACCAATTTTTCCTCTAATTCAATACAACAAATTTTACCTTTTACTAAATATAACCAATTTTTCCATTAATTCAATATAACCAATTTTTACTTTAATCCAATATAACTAATTTTGCCTTTTGACCAATAAAACTACCAAATATCCAAAAGAATGAGAGAACTATGTGTAACTATGAATCAGTAACTACTGATCAGCCAATAAGTGCAAAAAGGACACTCTTATATGAGTAATCAGTAGTTCATTATAAATAACATATATACGTATTTATACCTGTATTAAAACCCCGGAAGAAATACCACAAAAAAACCAGTTATTGGAAAATAGAACCTTTGTTAATGAGGATTAACTCTGAGGACCCAGGTAATAATTAATTTTTTTACATTTATTAGATAGAAAAATAAAGATGTACCAACCCTTGGCTAATAGAACCTTTGTTAATGAAGATTAACTCTGAGTACATAATGAAATGTACTGTAGGTTTACATTGACATCGGCACGTCTGACGTCTCGAAATTTTTTCGTGTATTCTCTCATGGAAATATAAAGATAAAAGTCAATACCTGAAGAGGTAATGTATATCTTTCTTTCTCACATCAAGGAAAATAACATATAAACATTTTCATTTAATATTGCATTTCTCTATCTAGAGGATTCAAAATAACATAAGAATATCTTCGCCTAAAAATCTTACTCTTCTTTTTTTCTGTTTTCAAAATAAAAAAAAATGTATGTACCAGTTTAGACCCTTAGAACAATTACCACAAACAATACCAATCCTTGAACAACAGAGCCTTTGTTAATGAAGATTAATTCTGAGGGGCCAGCAGTGGGATTACTATTAGCGCTAGTCGCTATGTAGCTCTTTTTGTTATTTAGAATTGAAAACTTACATATTTTTAGTGAAATTTGTTCCAAATCATGACCAAAATAAAATACCGTTGACAGTTTCTTTAAAACTTAAACTACAAGATGGTAATTTAGAAGACAATATAAACATAACCCCTCTAGATAAGGACATTGACATAGAATTCATGTCAATTTCCTAAAATATTTTATCTACGTAGCAAACAAATACAACATGAAGGTGGAATCAATTCTCTAACTTCATGTTTGCCAACTGTTAGTTTCAAATAAAATAATTAACTATAGTGACGAAATAAATTATACTTTAATTTAATTTAAAAATAATTTATAAAGGAAATAAATTTTTTAATTTAATTTAATAAATAAAAATTAAGAAAATTAATCTTATTGCAAGAATTAAAAATAATAATTGCATGAGGTTTTAAATTAGGATATTCTTTACAAGCCTAAATTTAAAAATTGATAAATTTTTTAATTAAATTGATTTAAATTTTCATTTCTTGAAAAACTCTTTAACTTACACAAAATGCCCTATACATTTTTTTAGTGAAACCTTGCGTAAGAACAAAAATTCTATTTCCGAGGTTATATCTTCAAAATTTTTTTAATTAATTTTTTTTCCCATTTTAGACAATGTCTAATAGAAACTTTAAATCCTATGAAAAAGATAATAAATATAAATGCAATAAATATTTAATTATTAATATAAAAAAGAAAAGTAAATAGTTTATTATTATTGGATAAAGTTGAATTATTTTCTTGATTTTTTGTAAGAATAGAAATTTGTAAAATAAATGTTTTCTTTATTTCTTTATTATTATGTTTTATTTGTTTATAATTATTAATTATAAAAAAATGTAAGGTTAAAATTTAGAAATAAAAGTGTTAATATAATAATATTAATAATTATCGTTGCCTCAAATTGCTTTTTTTATAACTTTTGAGATTTGAAGTGTTACACTTGAAAAATTTGTCAGGCTTTTAGATATTTCTTTTAATTGCTTCATTTCTTCATCGTAGAAAATCCTTATGAATTTGACACATTCTTGATTCTAAAAAAATACACAGAAAAACAATTGTACCAACCTAAATCCATCAAAATGATAGAATTTTTTTTAGTCACCCGATAGCAAGAAAATTTTTTAAAGTGAATGTAGCTTTGAATCGCTACGTAGCGAAATCTTCGTAGCGCTATCGCTATTTGTAATCCCACTCCAGGTAATAATTTAAAAATTTTTTTATTAAAATTTTCTGGGGCTCTAATACAGGTAGGGAAAAGTGATAAACAGTGGGACAGTTTAATTTTCTGAAAAACTACTTAAAGAAACTCGATTAAAATTTAAATGTAAACCAAGTTTATGACAACACACTTTTCCAAAAATTTTAGCCACATTGATTCATTATTATTTACAAATAAAATTGAAAAAACTGTTTTTGACGTTCCGGAGTAAATTTTTTCTTGAAATTCAATGCTGATTTTTATATAGGTAGGACAGTTTTAAAAAAAGTATAATTGTTACTTCGTTTACTCATGTTTTTAAGTATAATATCCAATAATTTAAAATATTTTAAAATTTTACAAACAATTTTTATTTAAATAATTTCTTGCGATTGCTCAATTTAAACAGTGGGACATTAAACACTGGGACAGGCAAAAATTTAAATTTATGAAACGTGGATTTTGGCAACACTAATTATAAGTTGTGTCAGCTATACGCATACGCATTTATACTTACACAGCGACTAAAAATGTGATTTTTTTTATGCTAAAAAACATTAAAAAATTCAAAATTTATAATTATTACAATTATTGTTCGGCAACATTTGAAAAGTAACACTTGATAAGAGAACGACTATTCAAATTTTCCTCTAAATTGTTTTTAGGTTATGACCAAATTATGACGTATGATCAGCAGTACTGTAAACGTAAAAAAATAATAGCAATTTTTCATATGAAACTTGACATCGTATTATAAATATGTAAAATATTATTAAATTATGAGTGTTTTGCAACATTTGTTAACGTTATTTAATGCAAAACATATATATATTTACAAAGTATGAAGCAGAATATTATTATTGAAACAATTATTCATTATTTAATAATAGGTGTCCCACTGTTTAACACAAACCTTCAAAACAAGAAAAATGTATCAAGTTCCAAAAACTTGAAATTTTCTATTTAATTACAATATAATTTAAATAGAATTTAAATAGAAGTCGAAAAAGTCGATTTTCTATTTTTAATAAATTTAATTAGTTAATAAAAATATTATAATTATTAAATATTATTATTATTATGAGACATTAAATAAATAGTTTTTTTTTGCTTAGGGACTTTTGGAAAATTTTGTACACTAAACAAAATAAGCTGACGAACTACTACCAGCCACAACCCACTATAACCGGTCAACCCTTCTTGGGAGCTTTTTATCCACCCTCGGTACTGTCGTGAAGACTTTTGCCTTTGAAGGTGGCGCTCCTACTCTGTTGTAAAGCGACTTCATCCATTCCTGCGAACATCCTGCGTTATCAATTTTAAAAATAAAACAAAAATCAATGTCAATGCGGAATTAACAGCACACTAGAAAAGAAAACAATAAAAAGTCAATAAATAAAATAAAAAATCAAAAATAAAATTGTAAAAAAAACAGATGAACACATAAAACATAATATAAAACTGTAAAACGACTAAAATAAATAAACAGAGAAAAAAAATAAACATAAAATTGTAAAAAGACAATAAAAGACAAAATAAATAATAAAATGAACAAATAAATAAATAGAAAGTGGAGACTGTCAATTACGCCTTCCTGCGGCCATCGAGATCCTTTCTCATCATAACCGTGATGATAAAGGTCTCGATGAACCGCCAGTTTTCTAGGAACTGGATCATCAGCGCTACCATGTTCTCCGGTGCAACTGTAGAGTTTACACCGGTAAACATGGCCTGCCTCTCCAAGTCCCATCTACTGCAGGCAAAGAGGGTGTGCTCTGCCTTGTCCACAGGGAACTGGCAGTAAGCACACTCCTCTGTCTCTTTCTTTTTAAAGCGCTGCAGGTACAAATTAAAACATCCGTGACCTGTCAGCGCTTGTGTCAAGTAGTAGGAGACCTCGCCATGGTTCTTACCTAACCAAGTGGCTAGTGTCGGTATAAGGCGGTAAGTCCATCGACCTTTTACCTCATTATACCATCTTTCCTGCCATTTTTCGACGAGCCTGTGAATCGAAGCGGATGCGGTCTTTCATGAATCGATCTTCCTCTTCCGAGGAATTCGCCTCTTTGAGAAGGAGGATGATTTCCTCCCTCTCAAGCGACAAAAGATATGCTGGCGGGACACTTGCAAGGACCTGCACAGCGATCGTAGATACTGTCTAATAAGCAGAGACAATACGCGAAGTAATGCATTTCTGCGCGGACAGTATTTTTTTGGCAGATGGTGGAACATATTTTCGTTCTCAGGGAGGGAGCCCACGCTGGTGCTGCATAAAGCAACTTAGCGTGGGCGACACTCGCCACCACTCTCCTTTTCTTCTCACGAGCGCCTCCAACATTTAGCATCACCCGTGCTAAGTTAGCCGCACATTCAATCGCCTTGTTTGACGCCGTAGGCATGTGGTGATGGAAGTTTAACCTTCCATCCAGTTCCACACCAAGGTACTTAATATGTCTCCTCCACTTGATCTCGAATTCGTCCATCACGATTCGTTGGGCTTCATAACCACGTCTGTCTGCGACCAGCAATGCTTCGGTTTTTTCCGGGGCCATTTGAAGACCTCTGGTTTTCAGCCACGATTAACGCGTCGTCCGCAAAGCCGACGATCACCGCACCTTCGGGCAGGTCCATTCTCAGGAAGTCATCGTACGATACATTCCATAAAAATGGTCTTACCCTCGAGCCTTGAGAGGCCCCACGCTGCATCTCTTCCTTGAGAACTGCCTTTATAGCATCAACTGTGGACCGACCTTTGCGGAATCCAAAGTGGTAATCGGATAGACTATTCTCTCCGGTCAAGTGAGATTGCATTCTCTGCAGAACCATGTCCTCTAGAAGTTTGCCCATTGTATCCAACAGGCATATAGGCCTGTAGGATAAGACTTTATCCAAAGGTTTGTTACCCTTTCTTAGGAGGACCAGCCTTTGCCTCTTCCAGTCTGGAAAGAACTCTCCTCTTTCTACGCAGAGATTGAAGATGTCCAACAAAATCAGGGGGAAAGCAACAATCACCTCTTTTAGGATCTTGTTGCTTATCTCATCGATTCCAGGCGCCTTGCCTGTCTTCAATCTTCTACCTGCTGCTTCCCATTCTACAAGAGTAAAGAGTTCTTCCTCAGTGACTATGCAAGAACTATGCACAGTGGTTTGAAATCAAAAAGTAGGGTTCATAACAGTCTAGAGCCTACAAATCGCAACCGATTTTGGAATTTTTTTAAAAATAATCTTTAATAAAATTGTAAGAGATCCCTCGAGCCCGATTTTTGATTTTCAATTTGCATAAATAATTATATTAATATAAACAAATAAAAAAACGTACTTTTTTACATATTACTCTTATTTTCAAAAAAATATGTAAAGTTTTTATGGTTAGGTATTTAAATTTACTCCTCTGGATCTCTCAATTGTAGAATGATGATATAGACCTATTAGTAAATTGTTATAAACAAATTGTTAATTTGGGCAATGATTTCAATTAATTTAAATGAAACTGATTACTCGGGGGTTTTGGGGTCGCTAACTACGAATTCGATGTCAGTTTTTCAAAATTCAAAATGGTGGATCCAATATGTCGGTCAAATTTTTAAAAATCGCTTAAATTTGCTTGAATCTGGTTACTCGGGGGTTTTTGTGGTCGCTGATCACGAATTCGATGTCAGTTTTTCAAAATTTAAAATGGCGGATCCAATACCACGAACGAATTTTCAAAAATTTATTGGATTCGCTTAAAAAAAATTTCTTAGAAGACATTTAAAATTTTAAAAAGACTGGCGTATAATTTATATACAGTAACAAAAAGACCTAAATAACAATTTTCAATCCAATTTAATTTTTACAAAATTGTCTACCTTATTGGATATGCTATTCGATTTTGATTTTTTGAAAAACTAACATCGAATTCGTGATCAGTGATACCAAAAACCCCTGGATCACTATTTTTATTAAAATCGATCAAAGTAATTATTTAAAATTAAAATTTGTTTATATAATTTGATTATAACAATTTATAATTTTTTCCTAAAATTGATTTTTTCATATCTTTAATACAAATCTCGAAAGTTATAAATTTTTGAAAATTTATAATTATTTAATTTTTTCAAATTTAACTTCAATTTTATATTATTTATAATTTGTTATATCATATTTTAAATAATTTTTAATTTTACCTAAGCTGAACTTATAATTGTTCCCTATTCTAATTCCTCAATTTAACTTAGCTAAATTAACTAACTTGGGAAGAGGTTTATTAAATGAATGATTTAAAAAAAATACAATATACAAATTATTTATTTAAAAACGCTGAATGTTCTCAATTATTATTTCAAGACAATTAAACAATTATGAATTCTATTTAATAAGATTTGGTAAGGCTACCTTATTTTATGTTGTGGTGGAGTTACCAAATTTTCTTCGTGAGTTTTGATGATTCGGTATTCTATTGTTTTTTTACGACCGCTCGTAAAAGTTCTGTATTGATGGGTGTCACTGTTGAAACTTAGACTTCCGTATATATTAAAACTGTATTTTAACACAGAAACTCCGTACGTATAATTTTTTGGGACTGCCTTCGTAGTGAAAGGTTTCCCTTTATGTAGTAGTTATATTTTCCAATGTATTTCTCGCGGCGGTACCAGCACGCCTCTTTGGGTTAGATTCAAAATCTCTGTATGCTTCGCCGTGGCCCTCCCGGCTTCAGAATAGCGCGCCTGTAGCCCACTGCATGTCGTAAAAGGCGACTAAACCACCCCGATCTCACCCTGCCACCAAACGAGGAGGCGTAGTGCGTTCAAGTCTCCCTTTACACCGGTTCCACATGTATGCGAAGTAGTATAGTCGTTGCGAGCCCCGTATCCCCACTGCGCCATCTACTCAATGCACTCCCCTCCGTGACGTCAGAAGGGGAGTGTATTGAGTAGATGGCGCAGTGAGGATACGGGGCTCGCAACGACTATACTACTTCGCATACATGTGGAACCGGTGTAAAGAGGGACTTGAACGCACTACGCCTCCTCGTTTGGTGGCAGGGTGAGATCGGGGTGGTTTCGGACTGCGGTCCGACACTTTGATCTGGGAGCGGAACCTCCGCGTGGTCCCCGCTGGAAGTACAGGATGCTTGTCCTCGCTAACTCACGCCCACTCTTGTTGGGGTGTTATCGGGGCCAAGTTGAATGTAACTAACCGCTCCGCCACTTCATTGGGCACCCTCTTCTTGCACTCTAAACATCGTCTATCTTGTGTTCACAAGAGCACAAAGAATTCTATGTCGTAAGAGGCGTTTTTCCATGCCTGCAGTACCTTGTGGTGAAAGTAGCAGAAAGAGGGTTGCATGAACATCAGGGAATATAGCCCTCCATGGGCCCAGGTATCCCATAAGGACTTCGGTCCTGTTGTTTTAAAAGCATGCGCAAGTCTGACTCTGTATGTTGATTTCCTTGTTTGTAGATCGTCTTTCATAATTCCAAATATCAAGAACATTACAATTTTAAGAAATATTATAATTTTATATAATGATCATTTTAAATATATTTTAGCATTTATTATGATTATTTCGTTATTAACATTATTATTTATTTATATATTCAATATTTATAAACAATTGATTTACTCTCAAATATTCGTTTTATTCACAAATACCTGTCTACTCATAAACAATCATTTATTCATAAATATATTTGTTTATTTATAAATAATTATCTATTCATAAATATATTTGTTTAATCATAAATAATTGTTTATTTACAAATATTTGTTTATTTAAAAAAAATTATTTATTTACAAATGTATTTTTAAAAAAATTTAATTTTACATAAATATTATTTATTTATAAAAAAATGTTACGGTGACGTGACAAATTAATATTCATGATTATTATTAATTAACGTTTAGAAAAATAACTTTTTTGTAATTTGTCATTAATTAATTGTAACGTAAATAATAAATTATTTAATAAATTTAAATCGTGCTAATTTTATTGATAGTTCCTAATTAATCGATTTAAAATATTCGCGCGTTTTAAGAATATAGTTCTTCTCGTGTCCGCAAGGTGTCGATGTTTGAGTCTCGATAAATTCTCTCATTAATGAAATCGATTAATTGAGAACTATCAATAAAATTAGCACGATTTAAATTTATTGAATAATTTATTATTTACGTTATGAGCGGGCGTCAAAGCGGAGAGATCGTCAACACTGTTAGTGAGGGGACAGGGGGGCGAGAATTTAGGCAGGCTTCTATTTCCACCAAAAGTGTAGAGAATTCCTCAAAGGTAAGTAAATGTTCGCCGACTACTCTTTTCAGATGGTGTTTGGTGGCCTTGACCCCAGCCTCCCAAAGACCGCCGCAATGAGGTGAGTTGGGTGGAATAAAGTGCCACTTAGTTCCGTCATTGGCGAGAGTGGTCGCAACTTCACCATAAAATTGAGAAGATGAATTAAACATTTCTCGTAGCTCTTTGGCTGCTCTCTGAAAGTTCATACGGTTGTCGCTGTAGAGCTGAGAACACAGACCTCGTCTACCTACGAAACGGCAATAGGCAGACAAAAATTTTGCTGTGATTAGGTCGCTCACTACTTCGAGGTGGATCGCATGAGTGGCAAAGCAAATGAACTAGGCAATGTACCCTTTATAGGAACGATTTCCGCCACCTTTCGACATACGAATCTGAAAGGGACCTGCATAGTCAACGCCTGACGTAGCAAACGGACGTCCAGGATTGACTCGGGCTTTCAGAAGATTTCCCATTAGTTGCGACACTAAGCGAGGCTTTAAGCGCTGACAAGTAACGCAACGGTGAATTTCAGTTTTAACTAAGCGTGTTTTACCAGTGATCCAAACATTTTGGACCAAAAAGGATGTCGTCAAGGTGAGACCTCCATGAAGAGCGGAAACGTGAGCCTGGTATACATAAAGGCGACTGAGTGCAGAACGACCAGATAAGATAGGAGGATGTTTGGTTTCATGGGGCAGTGAGGAGTGACACAAGAGGATTTCGTTTAGGTAAAGAATCTTTAGTTTTTATATGTTTAATTTCAGTGCTGAAAAAGGCTGTTTGAGATAAGCTGATAACAGTATGACGAGCTTCCATGAGTTCAGAGGTGGTAAGAAACGAGGTATTCGTTTGCTTTTCCGCTTCCCTGTCACGCAAATTCATTAGTGGACGTCGGCAATACGCCACTACACGGATCAGCCGTGATAAACTAGAAAATCTTGAAAGGATTTCGGGTTCGTTGCATTGTTTTAATACGTGCAATGATCTAGATGCTTCAGGATGGTTGGGCCAATTTTTAGAAGATAACGTGAGCCAGTTTGGTCCAGTCCACCAAATTGCCTTACTGCTAAGTTCGATAGGTATAACACCACGAGTGGCCAGATCAGCTGGATTATCCTTTGTTGGAACGTGCCTCCATTCATTTGAGGGCAGGTCAGTCTGAATAAGGGCCACTCTGTTGGCAACAAAGGTTTTCCAGTGACAAGGATGTTTTCGCAACCAAGAGAGAACAACTTGGCTGTCAGACCATGCGTAGACGGGAAGATCCTTAAAGGCGGTTAGTTTTTTCACATGACAAATTAATATAACAAGAAGAGCGGCAGCGTTTAATTCAAGATTCGGGATGCTTATTGTTTTTACAGGACTGATCTTGGTTTTTGCAGTTAAAAGCGAGGTGTGACATTTTTCATTCCCAAGGAGACCCTGAGATAAACTACAGCTGTATATGCGCGAGAAGAAGCATCTGCGAACCCATGAATTTGACATCCCACTGTTGGTAAGGTTCCTAACCAACGGTTTATTGGAATAGTCGTCTTTCGTTGGATTCCAATGCAGTCCTAAAGTCTTAACGGATTCTGTTCGAGCGATCTGTTTGTCGTGTTCAGGAGTCCCAGGCTGTGTGGGAGACGGAAGAAGTTCGGGACAGTTAGCTGACCATTTATCTAATTCTATTCCGGCAGAGCGCAAGATATTACATAGTTCATCGCGTTATTGTACGGCCAGCTCAAGTTCGTGAGCTCCGTCGAAAAATTCGTCAACATAGGCGTTATTCTCAAGACTGTGAGCACCAAGAGGAAATCTATGTTTTTCATCTTGCGTTAATTGCATGAGAGTGCGGATAGCTAAGAACGGTGCACATGCTGTTCCGTAACTGACCGTGGTTAAACGATATTCGACAGGTGGATCATTGGGACTGAGAGACCAAAGAATTATTTGTAAGTCCTGATCATCTGGATACACCCGTATTTGACGGAACATTTTGACAATGTCAGCAGTGAATACAAAACAATATATATTCAACATTGTAAGAGAATCAGAGATATATCGCCTTGAAGAGGAGGACCTGACATGAGAAATTCATTTAAACTTACATTTTCCTTTGTACGTCGGGACGCATTAAACACGACACGGCATTTCCAAGGATCTCTCTAAACCAATGCGTGATGAGGTATATACCAAGCACGTGGGTTGTTAATTTGAAGTTTGGAAACTTTTCCCATGTGACCCAATTGCTCGTAAGCTCTCATGAAATCGCAGTATGCATCCGCGAGTTGACGATCTCTGTCGAAACGACGATGCAAACTGGAAAGAGTACTTAGGGCTATTTGGCGAGTTTCTGATGAAGCTTTAGGCGGATCGGAATTTAGAGGGAGATGTACCATATGACGACCCTCCGGGAGACGAGTGGAATTGTCAGCATAGAATTGCTCACAAAGAATATCATCCGGTTTCCCTTTAGGGGGGGTGTCTGAAATTTCCTCTAAACTCCAGAATTTCTCAAGCGAGTTTTGAAGGTCATCATTTTGAACAAAATGCAAAGCTGCAGATTGATTTGGAGAAGCAAGATCCGCCCGCCGTGACAGGCTGTTATTTATCGACCCAGAAACAACCCATCCTAGGGTAGTATCTTGGACTATTAACGAAGTGGTGTGAAAACGTTTAAGACCTGAACGCAAAATTCGACAATAAATGTCAGACCCTAGAATTAAATCAACTGAGTCGGGTTTGAAAAAATGAGGATCAGCCAAGGATAAGCCCTCAAATTGATTAATGTCAAGTTCAAGGAGTTTTCTAGAGGGAAGATGCGACGTGAGACGTGGGAGAACTAAAGCGTGAGTCTCCAAATGGAAGGATGAGTTGTGAATGGAACGTAAAGAGATTTGAGCAGTGGAGCGTGCGGTTCCAGGAACTGATGCACCCATACAAGTTAGTGAAATTCCAGTACGGCATCGAGGCAATTTAAGTAATTGAACGATAGATTCTGTTACGAATGAGGCCTCAGAGCCCTGGTCAAGCAAGGCCCTTACTCGGACCTCAGTCCCTCTGGGAACCGTCAGAATGACTTGCGCTGTAGCAAGCACCACAGAGTGTTTTGGAGCCGACAGACTGGCCGTCAGCGTTGAGACACGGGTGGTCAGCGTCGGGGCATCGGTACTTGGTGCCGAGGTACTGGCGGTCAACGCGGAGACACCGGTTGGTGTGGTTTGCGTAGGAGCAATATTAGAATTTTGAGACATCTCTGAGCTCTGAATGGGAGCGTGGAGACTTGAGTGGTGTTTCTCTTTACAAGTTAAACACCTCCGTTTTGATTCGCATTTTTTGGAGTGATGGGCACCCAAACAGTTAAAGCATAGGTGTAAACGACGTGCTTCGTTACGACGCTCAGAGGTTGATTTTTCAAGGAATTTTAAACATGACCCGATATAATGTTCCCCAGAACACAACGAACATTTCCGAGTAAATCCCTTGGAACCCTGCAATTTGGAGTTCGCGCTTATGTGAAATGAACGTTTGGAATTACCGGAAGATTTAGACTGAGACTGAGGAGCGCAGCTTTTATTGATTTTCGATTCAGAAGCTATCATACAGAGCGCATTGGAACGTTGATCAAGGAATTCAACAAGCTCATCAAAACTGGCGAAACGTTCGGTACGACTGAGATTTGAGCCTGATTCAGAAGCTCTCGACAAGGCTTGGCGATCCTTCGCGCTCAATTCAGATTCCCAAATTTTACGAGATTCAGGATCTAGTCGACTTGTTAGGATATACACAAGCCAGATATCCCAATGTTGGAGAGGCATATCGAGATTTTTTAAGGCACGTACGATGCGTTGAGCCTCATCACTGAATGACTGTAGTTCATTAGCCGATTCTTTTTTAAGATAGGGTAGACTCATCAACGCCGTTAAATGGCTGTTGACAGTCAAACGGGGTTTCGAGGGCATGCCAAGTTGATAGGTAATTAGCGTTGGTAGTTTAAACGTCTTTAACGAAATCTGCTGCATTGTCCGTTAGAGATGATCTCAGGTATTGCAGCTTAGTGACATTAGATAATCGCGGGGATTCATGAACAAGGGAGATGAATAGATCACAAAAGTTATCCCAATCTTCATAACGACCGGAAAATTTTGGAAGATTTAACTTAGGAAGTTTAGCCATTCTGTGACCGATGTCAGAATCGTCAATTTCAACCGCACGTCTTTTCACGGTTGAAGAAGTTTCAAGTTCACCCAAAACTTTCAGAAGAGAATCTTGTAGTGATTCATAAGCGGCCTCCATGAGAGCGAAAACATCGTTCGTAACGTAGGGATTATCCGCGGCGTCATCCCTAGCAATAATATCCGCGTGAGCTTCCCGAGATTCATCCCAAATTTTATCACTTGTCTTGATCCTTTTTTGTTGACGATACCAGCGGTTAAATCATTTACATTAGCTGCTTTAAATCGGTCATGAATGCGGGTAATCTCAGCGGCTCGCGCCTCTTGCAGGGCTATGAGTTTTTTTGTACTCTGTAGAACCATTTTAATTTATGAACGGGAAATGAAAAATGAGAAGAGAAGTCGAAGTGACCGTAGAATGGCGGTAGAGGCTGAGTCCACAATAGAATGAAAATCGCGTGGCGTGCAAACGAGTGGCGAGTGGTGCAGGGCTGTGTTGGCAGTATTGACAACTGTCGAAAAAAATGTGTATGCCCATCCAGTGGCGTCGCGTAGCGGTGATCAAGAAGACTTAAATTTCAAGTTGACACTTGTGTAAAAGATTACAAGGTTTTTTAAAAAGAAATTATATTTTAATTTAATATTCAGAGGTAAGTGTGTAATCAATTGTGCCAATATTTATTATTATATTTATTAGATATATTTCTTATTAATGGATTATTTTTTAATAATATGTTATGAAGTACATTATTATCTTTTTTTTGATGATATATTGTAATGAATAATTACAAGACATTTAAATTTAACTATTTATTTTGTCCAATGAAGGTTGTTATAAAATAGTAGTAATTTTAAGTAAATATGTATAGTAAGTCTTAAATAGTAATTATTGTCGCTGTCGTCTTTTCTCTTGTATTAGCAGTCTAATCTCGTAAAAACATCTACCTCGGTTTTCGTTCAAAACTCGACGCCACAATTCTTTCAAAATCATAAAAAAATCATTTTCTCCTTCAATCCTGCGAAGATGAGCATCTGTAAAAAATTATTTTTAATTGGAAATCAAATTAAATTACATAGCAGTAAATTTATATTAGTAAGTCATAATTTTGTTTATACGTTGCTTAGTAGTTTTCAATTTTGTTTTTACTTCAACGTTTTAAACAACAGGTGATCCGACAAGTGACAATAAAAAAGTTTATCAGCATGAAAAAATTTGCAATAATGTAATAAAAATTAAAAATAAAATATGTATTTGTTAAAAATTTCTAAAATAAAAATACCTTCTTGACGTTGCTCATTTTCTCGAAGATTTTCATCATCACCATTGACATCATCATCTTCATCATCACCATTATCTTCAGGATTATCTTCACTATTATCTTCATCATCTTCGCGAAGTAGATCGTCAACATCATCTTCAGGACGATAATCGGCATCATCATCTGCAGGACGATAATCGGCATTATCATCTGCAGGGCGATAATCGTCACCATAATCTGCAGGACGATAATCATCACCATAATTTTCGTGACGATAATCGTCATCATCAACATCATCAACTTTCTCGTCATTCACCAACCTGTGTTGACTACTTTTCGTTCTGTTGAAATAGAAAAATATTGTTTTAATAGATTGTTTAACAAGTTATTAAGAAGAAATTATATATATATATATATATATATATATATATATATTGTTTTTTTAATTATACAATATTACATTTATTATGGAAGAGGTTATACATACTTAGAAGAGAATCGAGGAGAATTCTCCAAAAAAGCCATAAGTCTAAAATATTCTAATGAGTTAGTTTCATCCGGAGCTGCCGATCCTGAAGGAATGTATTCCTTGTTCTTATCCTTTTGCTTGTAATAATCTTTCTTCAAATTGTCCCATATTTTTTCTAATTCTTTAGCTAAAAAGATAATGTTATTTTAATATGTCAAGATTATGACATTGTTTATTTTTATTATTCTTTATTTCTGTTCTATTTTCGATTACATATTTCTATTCAAAGTTTTTAAATTCTTGAGATTTGAAGTTGGAGTAACCAGAAAATTAAGATTTTTTAAATTTAAAAGAATTTAAAAATTTTTGAGAATTTAAGTTTATTTACTTAAATAATATATATTGTTATTTATTTATTATTATTATTAAAGCTAATAAGACATGTATTTTTCATCAAAATTATAATGTAAAAGAATTTTTTAAACTATTTACAAATATACAAACTAATTCACACAGACACAAAAATGAGGTCATGTTATATTTTAATCTTTTCTTTTATTAATTAATAATATATCTCCAAATCAACTCCGAATGCACGTACATATCTGATTACATTAGAAAATTCGTAATTATTCAGCAATATATTTAACAAATTTTATAGATTTTAAATAAATTAAATTCTCACAAATTCTTTTGAATGTAATCGTTGCCTCTATTCTCGGTAATATAACTGATATAACCGACCAAGAAGACTAGTCTTCTTGTAACCGACTTAAAATACTATCTATTCTTTATTTAGTTATTTTGTTTTATTTGTAATTTTCTTACAAAAAAAAAAAAAAATTCACAATTTTTTGAGTGAATTAAAACTTTTTTAATTTTTATATTAAGATTTAAACCCAATTGAAAAATTTAATAATAAAGTACATACCGGTAAACTGTTCATCACAAGTTATATCTATTATAAGTTCAGAGATTTCTGCCCATGCGTTTCGTCTTAAACTATTATCCCTATATGATTCCAATGACTTGTCGTACAAATGAGGGCGTGATCCAATCATTTGAATTAGAACTTCTATATAATCCACACTTTTGGACATTGCCATATTAGCCAGAAATTGTTATGAAAATTCAAATAGGAAAATTGTTTGCTTTTGCTGGCTTATTTATGCGGATTTCTTGATTATGTGTGAAGTCGCTCAGAATCGCTATTACTTAACGAGCGCATGCTTACCAACATTTGAAAGAAACCTACATGCATTAAAATGTTTTCAATTTGGTAGTTCTGCTTGCTATTAGCTTCATTCCGTACTATTTCTGATAGACAGTGCTGCTGATCGGCATTTGTTTTGAAAAGCGAGATATCTGAAAATTCTGTTACTCCGCAAATATTTTTAAAAAATGTATAAAAAAGTAGATCCTGACATGGATATGAAAATAAAACTAATAGAAATTGTGCGACGCATTCCATGGATAATCGACCCGAATTCACGCTGTAAATATAATTCAGGACTTGTTAAAAGAAAGAGTTGGTCACTGATAAATGAAGAGTTGGAAAAGAGCGGGTTCAAAGGAGTTGGTAAGTTTAAATACAATTTTAAATACATATATTAAACATAACAATGATTATAAATTATAATTATTTAGAAATTTTTTGGAAAACAATTTTATAAAAAAAATTTTTTTAGACACTAAAACTTATTTTGGTAAAACGATAATGTCGTGTATTCACGTCCATTAACATTTCTTTAAAAATGTTTTGACAATAATTTAAAGAATGCGTAGTTTCAATATTTGAGAAATTTAATAATTTTTTGAGTTTATTAACTACAATTTTATGTTATAAAATTTGTTTTCTTTACTCATGTTAATTATTACATGTACGAAATTGTATAACTATTATTATTTCATAATATAACTTTAAATTTCTTATATTTTTATTATTCTCATTCAAAAACTATTAGAAAATTATATATTTTAACCTAACCAAAACATAAATAATATTTTATTCCCACAAAGGACAATCGATAAACTTAATTATTATAAAATATTAGTTCCATAAATATAATTAAATTTTTAAAAAAATTTCCTTTTTTTTGTCAAACGTTTAGCAAATTCTAGTTTTTTGCAGATGTTTTTTCATTATGCAATAAATTATATGGTAATATAATTTGACGAAGGTATTTTTCTTCGTTTTATAAATTATATTGTTTTAAATTTTTTACTTAGAAATATAAATTCTATGACTTTGGCAATTCACATCTCTTTTTAAATTATATGAAAGATTAAAGATGCTTTTTTAAATAATAAAGAATTTAAAGCTAATTAAATATTTTTCTTTGTCTTCGACAAAAGAAGCAGCATGTGTAATATGTTCGCATTTTCGAAAACCTTTTATTATCTAAAAATCGATTGCTATATTTATGAGTAAATATATATAAAACCTCGGGTTTGCTTTGAAACACGATATCATGTTTTTTTAACTCCAATTCAAAATCAGAGGTATATATGGGACGTTTCATGTCAACCGGCCCAGACCTCCATCCAAAATTCTAATCAACGAAAATCAACTTATTACAACTCAAAATAATCGTCAGCTCATACTGCTTCGAATAAAAAGTGGCGAATTAAAAAATTCAAAACGGCGTCCTTACTGTACCATGTTGTGCAAATTTTTTTAATAACTCAGCAAACGAATGTATTAATTACCTTGAGAAAATAATTGCAACTTGTTGGATAATGGGTCACTCTTATGTTTTTGGAGTCGCTGATTAGGAATCTGAAGTTAGATTTTAAAAATTTTCAAAATTCAAGATGGCGGATCCAATATGTCGGACATTTTTATTAAAATTTGATCAGATTCGCTTGCAACTTGCTACTCGAGGATTTTTGGGGTCGCTGATTACGAATATAAAGTCAGATTTAAAAAATTCAAAATGGCGGATCCAATATGTCGACCAAAATTTTTTAAAAATTATCAGATTTGCTTGAAACTTGTTACTCGGTGGTTTTTAGGGTCGCTGCTTACGAATCTAAAGTCAGATTTAGAAAATTTTCAAAATTTAAAATGGTGGATCGAATATGGCGACCAACATTTTTTTTAAAATTATCAGATTTGCTTAAAACTTGTTACTCGGAAGTTTTTGGGGTCGCTGATTACGAATCTGAAGTTAGATTTAAAAAATTTTAAAAATTCAAAATGGCGGACATTTTTATTAAAATTTAATCAGATTCGCTTGAAACTTGCTACTCGGGGGTTTTTGGGGTCGCTGATTACGAATATAAAATCAGATTTTCAAAATTCAAAATGGTGGATTCAATATATCGACCAAAATTTTTTTAAAATTGTCAGTTTTGCTTGAAACTTGTTACTCGGGGAATTTTGGGGTCGGTGACTACGAATTTGAATCTGGATTTTATAAAATAAGATTAGTGGTTCCAAAATGGCTAATAAAATATTTAAAAATTAAATGGATTCGCCACCTTTAACTCCATAAACCACCCCTTTCACATTATTCAATTAGTTGTTTTAAATTTTTCTTCCATACAAATTTAGGCTTCATTTAAAAGATCTTAAACATCATAAAAGTAATTTTTCAAAATACTATCCTTAATCCCCAAAACTACCCCTTAATATAGAAATTTAATATTTTTTAAAATTTACTCTACATAAATCTTTTATAATTTTAGCTAATTTGAGGCTTTTAAATAGCCTAAAATTAAATTTTGAAAAATCTACCCTTAAATTACTTTTTTAAAATTTTTCCTTTCCTTTATAAAAATTTCCTCTATATCATTTTTTTACAATTTAAGCAGAACTGAAACTTTCAAATATTCTCAAACTTAATTTCAAAAACTGTCCTTAACTCTAAAAACCTTAACCTCAAAAATCAGCCTCATTACATTTAAGTTTATAAATGCAAACAAATTTTACAATTTCATCCGCCATATTGGCTCCACCATTTTGAATTTTTAACAACTTTTACATCAGAATCGTGATCTGTGACCTGATTTTTAAAAGTTGACGTAAGATTCGTGATCATCGACCCCAAAAATTCCCGAGTAACAAGTTTCAAGCAAATCTGATAATTTTAAAAAAATTTTTGTTCGCCATATTGGATTCACCATTTTGAATTTTGAACATTTTTAAAATCTGACTTTAGATTCGTAATGAGCGACTACAAAAACCCCCGAGTAACAAGTTTCAAGCAAATCTGATAATTTTAAAAAAAATTTTGGTCGCCATATTGGATCCACCATTTTGAATTTAAAAAATTTTTTAAATCTGACTTTATATTCGTAATCAGCGACCCCAAAAACCCCCGAGTAGCAAGTTTCAAGCGAATCTGATCAAATTTTAATAAAAATGTCCGCCATATTGGATCCGCCATCTTGAATTTTGAAAATTTTTAAAATCTGACTTCAGATTCGTAATCAGCGACCCCAAAAACATAAGAGTGACCCATTATCCAACAAGTTGCAATTATTTTCTCAAGGTAATTAATACATTTGTTTGCTGAGTTATTAAAAAAATTTGCAAAACATGGTACAGTAAGAACGCCATTTTGAATTTTTTAATTCGCCACTTTTTATTCAAAGCAGTATGAGCTGACGATTATTTTGAGTTGTAATAAGTTGATTTTAGTTGATTAGAATTTCGGATGGAGATCTGGGCCGGTTGACATGAAACGTCCTATATATATATATATATAAAGAATTAGTGTGCTCGGATGATAATATTAATTGATTAAACGATAAATTTGAAAGAAAAAATAATCCGAGCATTACAATTTTATTATAATAAATAATAATTAAATTCATTCATTCTTAACTGCCCTATAAGAAAACTCGTTATATCTTAGGAAGAAGAAACAGATCTGAAAACAATCTAGAGGGAATAATAGCGACATCGTTTTAAATAAATAACGTTTTTTTAATCTATGAAAAGAATTTCTTGATCAATAATTATTGATCAAGAAATTCCTTGCGGAAGAATTTTAAATATAATAATAATCCCTGAATAAAAATCCAACAATCGTGTTCACCCTGAAAATTAAAAACTGTATATTTAACTTGCAACTCTTTTGGATTAATAAAAGAAGTTAAATGTCAGGGATTTTCAATCATTAGTCTTTGTATATATAAATACTAATTAAAATTGCAATCTCATTATACGAGGCAAAATAACAAAAGACGCTAATAACAAATCATTTGCATTGCTCAATTCTTAATAATAATATTCTTCGGTTTCTGAGTCGAGTTGTTCGCACGTGGTTTTGTCGCTCCTCTATAATAGTGTTTTTTATAGTTTTTGACAGTTTCTTTAAAAAGCAATCGACTCTAGTTAGTGTTCACATAGTGATGCACTTGTGTGTGTGTTATTTTGACTTTATTTCACCTGCGTGTGCCGATTTTTGTGCATAAATTAGATTTTGGTCTGTACTATTCATATTAAAAACGTTGACTTGAAAGTGTCGTGCTTTATCATGCCGCCTCCTATACTTTCTTTGGAAATACCTAAGGGAGATATTTGTAGATGTTGCCAAAAAGTCATAAAAGTGGTTACACCTGTCCACTACATTGGATGTAAGGTCCCCTACCACCCTAGATGTGCAGATCGCAAAACAAAACCCTGACGCCTCTTCTATACCCACGTCCCCTGCTGATTCTCTTATCACATCTGACGATGACACACCTTCTCTGCCTATACCCGCTACATCTATTGAGGATCTCTCCCGCCAAATGACGTCACTTTCCGCAAAACTTATGACAGGCCTTGGTAAAGTTCATAGTACAGTTTTTTCACTGAAAAATGATTTTGCTGATTATGGTAAGAGGCTGAATAAGATGGAATCTTCTGTTTCCACACTTGAGGACAATGCTGTTACTATTTCTGAGAGGATTGACGTCAATGAATCTAAAATCGATCATTTGTAAAAAGTCATTACCTTGTTTGAATCTGCACTATTAGGTGAGTTCGAGGAACGACAAAGGAGAAAATCTAATTTTATTATTTTTAGCGTGAAGGAAATTTTAGATGATTCTGGAAGCTTTGACAATCACCGTGATACTAAAAGTATTTAAGGATTAATCCGCAATATTCTGCTTGCCCCTTATACTATTAATGTTCTTCCCTTAAAAATTTTAAGATTGGATAAATTTTCCCAGGCCCGCACACTTCCAAGGCCTGTCAAGGAACTGTGCAAGAACGTAAATTTAAATTCTATTATCAATTATGTAGCCATAAGACTTACACTACATGATAACTCGTTCAACGTCATTGCGTTATACATACCTCCTAACATATCAGCTCACGATTACGATTTCGTCTTTGAATCTATAAAATCTCAAGCACATACCTATTTACAAATTATACTTGTTTTATGTGATTTCAATGTCCCTAACTATGTAAAATATAATATTAGAGTTTTGTCTTTATTAAGCTTCGCAATTTATTTTGATAATAAACAAATCAATAATATTAAAAACCATAATGGTGTCAAGTTTGATTTGATCTTTACTAATATAGTTTACACTTCATATCACTCACCTATTCCACTTGTTATTGAGGATAATTACCACTCTGCACTCAGTATCGTTATCTCCTTACCATATACCAATATTCCTCAACTAAAAAATAATAACTTTTCTCCAGCATATACTAAACCAAAGTTTAACTTTACAAAAGGTGATTTTCCAAGGATTTATTCTGAAATTGCGGCTTAGGACTGGACTGAATTAAAAAACATTGATAATATTAATGAGGCGTGCTTATACCTTCAACAGAAAATTTTGAACACATTCCGGAAATTTATTCCTTATTTTTCTGACGTCAGTACTATCAATTGTAAATATTTGGAATGGTTCACTAAAGATATCATTAGTGATATTAAACTTAAAGACTCCATGTTTC